ATTGGGGTTTTAAAAGGAAAGGTTCACATTCAATTTAATTTCAGGAAGAACTTTCTAAAGAGTATAGCTGCTCTTTATCCACCTATTCTTTCATTATATTCCGTGAACACGGACTATGTGTCAGGTGCTGTGCTGAGCACTGGTGATAGTGAAGGTAGCAGATACCGTGTCAGCCTACAATTATCATCAGCTCTGTCAGCATATAATTAATTACCTGCTGTGGAGTAAAGGAAACACAGAATGAGGAATGGGCTGATGGGAATATTGAGGAGATAAATAAAATTCAGTCTGCACCTAGGAATCTCACAGTCTAATAACACTGATTTTAAGAATTAGTGGCATTTTCTAAATAACAGGTATATACATGCTGGATGCATTGTGCTATGTTATTACACATTTTAATAAACATAGCATGATGTTTAGTTCTCAAAGCACCCCTAATTTTCAGATGAGAAAACTAAACCCACCTGCTGAGGCACCTGTGCAAAGCAGAAGGGGCTCATTGGCCAGCGAGTGAGGATTTTGTATTATGCACCCTAAGTTCACACTTGAAAACTCCCTGGTGGAAATATTTCTCCAAAAGTTCTCCGCCACCACCCAGGCAGACTCTCACCTTTCTCAGCTGCTCACCCCCCAGCTGCACACCTCCCTCTAGGGCACAATAACTTCCCTCAGAGTTCTGCTGCCAGACGGTATTCCTAACCCAAGCACTCTCAACAGTCTTCCCCCAAAAAGGAGGGCTTGTAAATTCCTATACCAGCTGCTAAGTGACCAAAACATATCCATATCCTTGGTACTGTATCCAGGTGTGAGTAAAGAAGACCCCGAGTCCACTCTGCAAATCAGAGCCCCAACATCTGCTGCTCACGTGCCCTGGTGGATCCAGGGGCGCTGAGATGCTGAGCTGCAGCGCTTAGGGACCAGTGCCCCTGGGGCAGCTGGTGTTTTCTCAGGGAGACGCGTATTTTCTGCATGTGCTCTGACTTTACAGGACTAGGAAGCTCTGCTGTAAGTCATCTCATGCCTGGGCTAGTTGGCGGTAAGGGAGAGAACATACCTTGAGTGATAGAAAGAAGGCAGATAGGACAATGGGAAGAAGGTGGGAGAGCGGACTGGGGTCAGAAATGTAATTGGTGACCTTGGAAGAATAAAACCTGCTGGTCCATCCAGCAGCCTGACCCTTGAACTCATTAGCAAGGTCCTGTTGGCAGCTGTTTTCCCACAGCCACAAATGTGCAAAACTTGTCAAGATCAAGACTGAGTCAACTCATTCGGGATGCAAGGCTGGCTTGCCCCTTTGAACTTTGTTCCTATCACAGCCATTTAATTATTTTGTGAGTTCTTATAATTCTGAGGGCAAAGCAGGTGTCCAGAGTGCAATCCCTAACACTTTTTCAGGTTCCGATGTTTTTATGAACTGGGAGAAGCTTACAGTGCCTTAAAGAAACTACATAAAGAAGGCATCAGCATTTTCGACATAAGCTCCATTTCCACAGGTTTATGCGCTCTGGAGAAACTCGCTTGAGGATGAGACTGGCATATAGTGCCCGAGTCCCTGACTGTCCACACCTCATTGCATAGGTACTTACGAAGGAGTCCTTCACATTCACTACATTTGGCATCTGTAAATTTTAGAAATAGAAATGGCTTTAATAGTAGGTGGTTTCTGAATTTAATGTCAGTGCACACAATTCTCAGAGAACCGGAGACGTCAGGAATACCAAAAGTCCTGGTTTATAGATTCTGGTAGGACAAGAACATGAAGGGAAAGGAAAATAATTTAAAGGGACAGATGCCAGAAAAGGTTGGTGTTCTCAGAAGGGCACCCGACGTAGACTGACATCATCATTTCTCCTACCCCAGGCTCTCCTTGCCCTATTTCCTGCCTGTGTCATAGACCGGGCCCTCGGCTTTGGTCAGAAAATCACTGAAAAGGCCGCCAAGAATCTCATGTTGCTTTTTGTGTCTCTATTTGAGGAGACTGCATTAAATGCTCTCTCAGCCATAAAATGCCTGATGGGGAGAGAGTTCTTAGACAAAGCCAGAAAAGCATTATCCCTGGAGGTGAAAGAATTCCAGGAAAGGCCAGCACAGAACTCTGCAGAGGAAACTTAATGGGCAGCTGTGGTTCTCAGGGACGGATCATTCAGGATGTGTAGGCAGCCTGCTCCTGGCAGCAAGCACCCAGATCCTGGGAATGTGGACAGTGGACTTCCGCCTCAGGATGGGGAGCATGGATCCAGGGGCCAGTGAGGATCCAGGACCAGCCCCAGTTTCAGAGGAGAAGCTGGGCGCCTTGCCCAGCAACAGGGCCATTCTGTGAGCCGTCCTCTCACGAGGCTGCCTCAGTGGCTGTTCACTCAGTGGACCCCACTTCTGGATTTATCTGTGCTTTGGGGGATGAGGGAGGGGAATCAGTATAGCTTCATGGTTAAGCACATGGCCAAGTCCAAGAGCTTTATTTAGAGCAGATGGCCTTGGGCAAGTTAACCTTTTGAGCCATGGTTCCTCATTTGTGAATGGCGGTAATAGCTCTTTCCTTTAGGGTTGTGAAGATGAAGAGATGATACAAAGAAAACGGGGAACTCCTGGTAGCTGTAATAAGCAGCCAGACTTGATGATCTGTCTTCACTAAAGGAAGAGAGTCTCCAGCATCCTCCATGCTGAGCACTCTTTGGTTCGAGGGTAGACAATCCCAAAGATGCTGCGAGTAAATTATTCTGGCAGGCAGTCTGGGCATCCAGGGACTAAGACCTGAGCTGTTATAGCCCATGAATCTTTGGTTCCCATCCTCAGAGGCTGGGTCCGTTCTGAGGAAGATCCATTTCTGTGTGAAACTAAAATAGTCCAGACATTTGGAATTGCCCGAGTACAACATGTGATGTACTAAATCTGAGCGTTGTACATCTAGGCCAGTGGTTGGCAAACTCATTAGTCAACAGAGCCAAATATCAACAGTACAGCGATTGAAATTTCTTTTGAGAGCCAAATTTTTTAAACTTAAACTATATAGATAGGTACATTTTTATTAACTTAATTAGGGTACTCCTAAGGCTTAGGAAGAGCCACACTCAAGGGGCCAAAGAGCCTCAGTTTGCCGACCACTGATCTAGGCTAACATAAAGGACACTGAATTCTGAAAAGCAGGGTTTTTCTTTTCGAACTCCTCTGGCAACACTTCCCCATGCAAACAGCCAATCCTTCCTCCAAAAGGCCATTCTGTAACAGTGAAGTCTCCTTAACGGAGGAGAAAATGAATGGAGAGATAATGAATCATCTGTAAAGCTGGTTGAGAGTAAAGCTGACCAGTTGGAGGCCCTGAAATGAGGGCATCTCAAACTTAGCCCTTGTGATCCTGGGGGAGTCTCAGACCATGGCCCTGTAATTCAGGGCTCTGCAGTCCATGGCCAGCCTCCGGTGTGACAGTGTATGAGATAGCCAAATGGCACCACACTGGAGAAAGGCTAGCTGCATCTTCCTACAAATATCCCTATGGAGACTGAAGACTCTCTTCTGACATGGACCTCATCATCCTAGGGCTTCCAAAATCAAGCACCAAACCTACTAGAATATAAATGCCAACTCTTTACTTTTGCCTTAGTGTTAGGACACTGGAAGAATTCTACTCAGAGCAAAGAGGTTTCCAGGTGAGGGATGGGCAGATTCTGGAGTTCAGATAGTAATTGCTTAGCATCAAATGAGATTGTATGAGAAAGGTAGTAAAAGATAAACTGTTTACCTATCAGAGATATGCTAATAAATATAGTAAGCATTTTGTATATAACATTCATTTTTTCATTCTTTCAGCTCTGCTAGATAGCATTCTGAGTTCAAGAAATTTGATGGTGAACAAATTTTTGTTCTCACAGCAGCCCGATAAGGAACCTGACACCTAAGAGGTTCCGGATCTCCTGTAGGGGTTCACACAGTTATAGGCAGAGACCACACCCCAGCCACTGCTCCACAAAGCACCACAGAAATGCTAGCTGTTGAGCCTCTTGTCACGAAGATTACATTGTATTCTGTGATATTCCCTACCGAGCTGAACACAACACTGCATTGTGCCTCTTCCCACTCCTAAACGTGTAAGATGCTGACATAAACTTAACTAAGGATGTTTCATTCTAAGCTTATCCTATAAACAGGAAGCCTGTGGGGTGACAAGCAGATCTTGGAAGCTGTCTCATTAGGCTGGATAAATCCACACCACCATTTTAGAAATTAAATATGTAATAATTTTTTCAGATAATTTATTTGTGATGATGAGATATAATTAGTGGAATATGTCACCCACCTATGATGAAATCAACTTAATTTGGTTTAGGGAAGAGTGGGGTCCCTGGGAATGACAAGACATCACAAAAGGTACCGGTGGGTTTGTCAGGGCATACAGTGTGAGTGAAAGACAGAAAGCGGTTCTGTGGTCTTCTCAGTCCGACTACAAATGGCATTGGGTCCAGTGAAGTCCATGTGGTAAGTGATGTTACCACGGTAACTCCAGGATGATCTTATAGCCTGTGAATCACTCGTCCTCACAATGAGATTGAGAGGCCACAGACTCAGTTAACAGCCGAATAGATGATGAACCATGCAAGGGGGATGGATGCACAGTGACCTTTGTTGGGACATCAGTTTGTTTTGTATGCTCATTACTCTTATTTCAGTTAATACATTCCACTTGGTTGGTTGGTTGGTTGAAGTCATATGATCCCCAATTGAAAGAAGGGTGATCAAAAATAATGTGTATGTCTCTAACAACTGTTCTTTTCCTATTGTAACTCTAGAGAACCATCAGGGTATATGCACATGTGACTCTTGCTGCCAATAAAGGCGGCCTTCTTACCTCGTGTTATGTGAAGGAAATATGTTCATGTTCAATTAAATGTCTGTTTTGTGCTTCCTCCTTCTAGGGGTCTCCTTTCCTCTAGACCACACCCAATGCCAGGGCCCTTTCTCCTTTATGGGAGCCACTCTAACCCTCACTCTGTTACTCTGTCCAGAGTCCAACTGCCAGATGAGGACCCTCGACAGTGGGATCGGAACCTTCCCACTCCCAGACTCGGGGACTCGCTCAGCCGGACGGTACATATGCCCGGCAGACCCCTCAGGGGACACCGAGCCTGACCTGTGCCTCCAGCCGGTCCTTTGTGCAGCCCCTTCCATCCGAGCCCAGACCCTTGAACGAGAAGTGCCTTCCTCCGCCGACAGCCAGGACTTTGCAGACAACGCCATCGTTCACTCCACGTCTGACCCCACCATGACTGCCAGGGGGACGCGGCCTCTGCAGAGTCGCCTCCCCAGACCAGCCGCCTCAGGTAAAGTGCCTATTACCTTCCAAATTAGATTGTTTTCCCACCCAAATCATGCACTTGCTGACAAAATGGAAAACATGGTGCAGAAAAAGTTTCTGCCAGCAAGCCAGTGAGTGACCTCTGCCCGGTGGACATGTGGTCCCATGGAAAGCCCTGCATATCCTCCACCAAAAAGTAAGACAAGCATTACACATTACCTGCTCTTAGCATTATGTGAAGAAGTTGTACATACATATAAAGGAAGCAAGCATGTAAGCACAGGGATATGGATATGTAAATTGATTAAGAAAAAAAACCCCACAACATGCGCATGGGCTTTTATCTTTTAAAACTTAACTCTGATTATAGATAATTTAAACTTGACATAAATTTAACTGATATGCTGTTTGCCCTCTAACCAGAAACTGTCTTCTGATATAATCTTATCCTGTTCAAATATGTGTATATGCCGAACTATAAAATCTTAGTTGGATGCATCAGCAGTAGATTCACTGCAGTAGAGCGGTGTGAGCCTTCCCATGAAGAAGTACCATCTTTGGCTGCCGTCATTTGAAAAAGTCTTTCATGATTAAAGATAGGACCAGGCTAAGGGTCAAAGTTTTTTTATTGGCCCCTCAAGATTAAAAATATTTATTGCAGCTCAAGGTGACACTGCACAATTTTTAACTTGTATGGATCCTGTTGCACTTGTGACATGCGCAGGCATATGAAATAGAACTCTGAAGACGTGCCTTTGTTATTTGATGCTGAGAAAGGAACCACAAGTAGGGATTATATTAGAGGCTCCTGAAAAATTAGAAAAGAAGACTTTTAATTAAACATCTTTGAATCGATGTGATTGAGCTATTCCCATGGCTGAGTCCTTCCTTCTCATTGTAATACTAACTGCCATGAATGTTTCATTGCAAACTTCTGCTTATTTCAAGCCAAGGCTACATTTTAAAAAGCCGGAATGCGTATTATTTTTGAAATACATGCATTGTTAATTAATGACACCGCCTCCAGAGACTCAGGGGCGAAATCTTAGTTATAGATTGTGCTCCATGCCTGAACAGTCACATGTGTGACCTCAATTCAGCAGCCGGCTGCCGAGTAGACGCCATGATTAAACACTGTCATTATAACAAATTGAATAGAAACTGCAAGCCTTGAATTGCTTCATAAGAAGGGGATAGGAAAGAGATTGTTCTGATCTTGCTGCAGGTATTCACCAGTTTCCTAAGGTTTGTGTCTTAATTAAATTGTCATGAAGAGTTGTAAAAAAGTAGTATATGGTCAAGAGCGAGGTCGACATGGGGAGGGAGACTTTGGTGTTGCGCACCCTGGAGCTTCCTGTCTGCCAATTGATATTGTCAGCGTGGTTCTTAGGCCAGTTTTCCAAGGGCTCTCTTTTGTCTGTGGCCATTGGTTACTCATTTTAAAAATTAAGCAATGAAGAACCAGCTGCAATGAAAGGCGAGTGGTTTAGGGCAATCATTCCTTTCTTAATGCATGCATTTGAATTGGTTTTTCTCTTATCTCCATGTCAAAAATGGAGGTAACTGTACAAATCTCACAGCGCTGATGGAAATACAATTACTTTGCTTCTGCTCACAAGCAAAACGCTGTTGAGAGGCTAGCCCAGCCTGTCCCGTTGGTAACCACTGAGGCCGGAGGATCACTGCAGCCTCCCCTTCCTGGCATGAGAAAGAATACACTCTGCAGGTCGATCTACTCTGATGGGAAATAGAGGCCTTCCTTTCTTCCATCTCTGCTAAGTACATCCTCGATCCTCAAAATGGGGTCCATGGCCAGCAGCAGCAGCAGCATCCGGGAACTTGTCAGAGATGCGGAATCTCAGGCCCCACCCCAAACCTACTGAATCACAATCTGCAGTTTAATTAACAAGAGCTCAGTGGATGCACAAAGCAAATCAGAGCTTGGGGAGTCGGGCCCTGCAGGATTTTTAAGGGCCTCTGAGCGAGGTTGCCCAAACCACATCTTTTAAAATGACCTTCACAGGTATTCTAGGAAAATCAGGGTTCCCTGCTCACATATGTTTGGGAAAGGCTTTTTATTTAAATCTCCCTTTGGTAGTTATGACTGTCCCCATTAGCACAATGAAGGCTCTGAGAAGCGCTCCAAAAAGGGAACCTGTTAGACATTTGATGAAAAACATTTGATAAATAACCAGCGTTTCCCAGTTTGCCCCTGAACCCTTCTTAACATGCAGAGCTTATCAGCATTTCATGGCAAAGTGGTCCCAGGACAGCTTGCCTTTGGTCTCCAAGGTGGACATTCTCTGTGGGCGTGCGGAACTACGCAGACGTGTCTGCTGGGATGGACTTGCAAGGGGCAGAATGCTGGAAAGTGCAGCTTTCACCACATTGGGACCTTTCTTATTATTTCTGAATATCTCCCCCACCCCCTCCCTACATTTCCATAGAGTTGAAGGAAGCTGACTGTAGTTTCATATACATTTCCTCATTTAGGAAAAATCCATTCCCAAAAGCAGAATGACGCCGAGCCACGGCCTCAGACCTGCTCGTCAGTATGTGCTGAGAACACACTGGCCAGGGAGCTGCTTCCAGACTGGCGGGGTGAAGACCCCCCTGCGGACACCCAGGTGAGGGAGGCCAACAGGCGGGCAGCCTCCACCCGTTGGTCCTGGTTGTGAAGAGTGAACTCCTGAAACACTTTGGTGAAGAGTTAATTTTAAGTCAGATTTGTTGTTGGCTCAGTGAGTAAAAACGCAGGCCAAGGCTCCCTTTCCTCCCTGAATTAAGTAACACCATGGGCTCTCGGGCAGGATCCAAAGTGCTTTCACCCATCTGCACTCAGATGCTTGAGGGATGGGGGCTCTGCCCCGACCAGACATGGCATAGCAGGCATTGCTCTCCCAGGCTTAGGAGCACCATTTAGAAAGATAGGATGGTATTTTCCCATTGTCTCCTCAGCTCCTCCAACCTTTACCCTGTTCCTATGAGACAGGTAAAGCAGGTTTGATTAGACTCCTTTTAGGGACGAATAAACTGAGGCCTGGGAGTGGTCATGGTCGAAAGACTTGCCAGGGACAGTGAGACCTGCATTTCTTTAACCTCCATCATTTGTGCTGTGGGTTCTTCATCACCCTGAGATGGCACACAGAGATCTAGGGAGGGGCTCATGGCTCAGGGACTCCTCGAGCCTCCCTCTGGGTACTTGGTATCCCCTTTTATAGACCCTCCCATTTACCAGTTTCGACTAATTGATTGGACCACATCCAACCTGCCCACTATTTCTCAGCTTGCCCTGGGCCTGGCCCACTTCAGGGTCTTTGGTGGCACCCAGCAGTGAAGGGTGGGAGGAAGGACATAAGGACCAACTACCAGACCTCCTGGCCCTTCTAGGACCTTCCTGCTCTGTTGCCTTTGGCTCTCCAAGCCCCGCATTAAAACCCTAAAAGAGACCCAGAGTTGGATGGGGAAGTAGTTAGCAACAACAGGTGGTAATAGTGGCAAAGCAGTTAGGCAATTCCAAGAAAGAGAGAATTGTTTAGTGCTGCTCTCCCCCACATGTGCTGGCAGGAAATCCTCACCCAACATTCCTATCCCCCAAACACATACCTCTCGGGGGTCCCCTTCCCCCTCATCTCCCACCGGCTCTGCCCATTGGAAATCCTGCCTGTCTTGTATCAGTCACCACCACGACTTGGAACTCAGAACTCCAGTTCATTGACTGCAGGGAGGGAAAGTTTGAAGCAAGAGTTAGCTTTGTATTTCTAGCTCCCAGGACAGCACCTGGTTCCATTAGTGCTTATTGAATGGAGGGATGAAAACATGCATCTCTCCTTACCCAGAAAGTGTTCCTGGGGTCCTTCAGGAACACTAGCCATGAGGCTCCCCTGGAACCACTATCTGTAGACTTGTCATCCTTAATAGACATCATCCTTGCTATTGAAATCTCTGTACTGAGCTCTGTACCCCCAGAACCTAGCACACGGCTTGGCACAGGGTAGCAACTTGATAAGCACCTGTCACATGGGTGGATGAATGAGTAAATGACTAAGAGAATAAAGGGAGGAATGAGCGCTTGAATTTATAACCATGGCTGAAAGAGCTCACATCCTAAAATGTGTTTTTGTAATTTCCAAACAAGTGACACTCCCAGATGGACTTGAGAGACCTGTCTCATACATATGCCTGGAAGATGGGGAATCATGGGCTCTGAGAGGGCAGAGGCCCAACACCCTGAGCCTGCCCCCTCCCCCAGGAGCTGCAGTCCTAGACCCGGTATCTGCTTGTGTGCACAGAGGGGAAATGTCCATACAGTACCTCCCCCCCCCAACAGTTCCTGAACACGCTGATCACAGCACTGTGACACCTGTTGGGCCAGGCTGTGTGTGTGTGTGTGGTCGCACAAAGGGGAGACTAGGTCCCTGAGACTGGCCTCTGTCAGTACCTCTGAGGGTTATACAGGGTCAGCAGTTGCATGCTTTCCTAAAGGCTCCTGTCCTTCCAGAGCCTGGGAGAAATATTCCAAATTGTGTGAACATTTATTCTTTTGTTCCCAAGGTTGATCCCTTTCATACCCTCTGATACTTGAAAGGCTGTAATGAGATCAGTTAAATAAATAAGCCATTAGGTTTGGAACAGCGACTCTAACAGGCACTTTAGAAAATAGGACCCATAAAGCAGTGTACCCAATGCAGAGCAGGTGGTGCGGGGACTTGCGGCGCCTGGGACAGTGCTGTGTGGTCAGAGGCTTAGTGCAGGCCTGACTACAGCTCCAGTGATTGACAGACTGGCAAGCCCAGTCACTCCTGGGGGCGGGGGCATTGGGAAGGGCATTCTGTGCACCAGCAACAGCCAGGTGTGAACTGTTCCACATCCTCACAGGCTTTCCTCACAGGAAATCCAGCTGTCGGCGCTGGATTTGTGTGAATCATCTGAACAGTCTCACGTTACTCATTTAGGACAAGGGACCCAGAAAGTGCTCGTACTCTGCCAACGATGGCAGTGATAGTGACAGTGCCCGGGTTTTGGAGCTGGAAGGGGCAAGTTAGTGAAAGCAGTGCCAAGTGCCACCCCAGGTAACACGGGCGAGCACGGGGACACTGGGGCTCCTCTGTCTGGGAAGCCAGCGAAGTGCTTTCCCTGTGCTCTGCCTCCTCCCCTCCCCGAGATTTCACTTCTCAGCTCATCTCTCCTGAGATCTAATTTTCTGGCACGTACAGAAGAGTGCCTGCGAACATCAATTTGTTTTCTGGTATAATCTTCATGACATTGCAGTGCAGTAAGGATTTTATTTCCAAATCTGGCATCTCCCAAAATGTCTCCAGTTGAGTTCTCTCGGTAATGCAGGGATGGCTGTAAAGATACGTTTGTTCTTAATCACATACTTTGGCCAGTCCAATCGCCCAGTGAGCCTGGAGAGAATCGCAGGCTGGACCTGCAGCCACGCCATTGTGAGCAGGTCTGTTTATGAGCGTGAAATTCCCTCACACCATTCCTGTTGGAAGCAGAATTGGCAGCAGAAAAATCATCATCCCGAGGCACTTAAAAATATGTGTGTTCAGATGGCATTTCCATACACACAGAAGGACAGATGCACCCCAACACAAAATGTGGTCTGGGCTCTGCCTTTCTTCTAATCTATTCTGGATTGTCAGGAATCCTATACAATAAAAGGCTAATATGCAAATTGATCAAACGGCAGAACCACCTGTCGCTATGATGGGCACTGATCACCAGGGTGCAGATGCTCAATGCAGGAGCTGCCCCTGTTGGTCAGTGTGCTCCCACAGGAAGAGCGCTGCTCAGCCAGAAGCCCTGAGCGGGGCTCATGGTTGGCGAGTGCAGCATTGGTGGCAGGAACCTCTCCCGCCTCCACAGCAGTGCTAAGGATGTCCAACTGCCGGCTTAGGCCTGATCCCTGAGCCTAACCTCTCAGGCAGACATCCCCCGAGGGCTCCTGGACTGCAAGAGGGTGCAGGCCGGGCTGAGGGACTCCCCAACCCAGCCCCTGCAGTGCAAGAATTTCATGCAAAGGGGCCTCTAGTATTTTAATAATGCACTAAAGCAGCATTCTTTTTGCATGAATCAACTTTTTTCTCCAATACTAATTTAGCGATGATATGATAAAACCATGACTTTTTTCTTAAACAAGACTGATGTTACTTGAAGGGAAAATGTGATCTAGCAACCATGTGTGTTTCCAGTTTCCCAAGAGCCTTGGTGTTTGTGACGTGTCAGGGTAGGAATGGCGTATGTGAATAGCCATTACCTAGGGCCTCTACTCTGCTCCTCGCTCCCTGCCAGCCCTCAAGAGTCAGGACCAGGCTGCATCCTGCTAGGGCTCACCAGGAAGAAAGTGGCAACCACCACTGGCATTAGAGCAGTGGTTCTCAACCTGTGGGTCGCGACCCCTTTGGCGGTCAAACGACCTTTTCACAGGGGTCGCCTAAGACCATCCTGCATATCAGATATTTACATTACGATTCACAACAGTAGCAACATTACAGTTATGAAGTAGCAACGAAAATAATTTTATGGTTGGGTCACAACATGAGGAACTGTAGTTAAAGGGCCAGAAGGTTAAGAACCACTGCATTAGAGTTTGGTTGTTGTCCCCATTAGGTCTCTGTGGTTTGTGAGTGTCTCTCTGGTTGTGACAGATAAAAGGGAAGGGCTTTCATTGTCGTGAGGTCTGCCCAGTGAAGACGCCTAGGGCCAGGCCAGCTCCTAGTCCAAGCTTTTCCCTGGAACCTCTCATGAGTCCAGTGAATAACACCCCCTCCCTGACCCTCAACTGCTCCATCCAAGAATGCTGTCCAGGGCCCATTCCAGCTCTAAAACACCACTCAGTTAGGCCCGGGCTCCTGCGTGAGTAACTGGACAAAGACTCCTGTCAGACACTAAAACATACATGTAATAAACTAGGAAATGCTTCCAGTGTGATGAAAGGAGATAAAGGCTTTGGACAAAAATAGGAAAGCAAGGTGGTATGGGAGAGCAGGATGCTGGGAGGGTGCCGGGAGGGGCAGTGTTAAAGTGGAGCAGTCCCACAGCCTCACTGAGGAGGTGGTGTTCCCATAGAGGTGAAGGGGGAGAGGGAGGACCCAGGAGGATCTCCGGGAGGAGCATTCTGGCCAGAGGTCACAGCCAGGGCAGAAGCCTTGAGAAGGAGCAGCAGGCAGCAGCGCAGCTGTGGGAGCAGCCTGCAAGGCTGGTAGAGGTCAGACAGGCAAAAGGGCTGGAGCGGGGAAGGCCTTGATCGCCAGCCCGAGGCCTTTGCTTCCTCTCTGAGAGACACCTGTGGGGGCCTTTGGACAACTCTGAGAGCCATGTTGTAAACGGATGACTCTGGCTGTTGTAAAACCTGAAGAAGCAAGATCCACTAAGAGGCTATTACATCATCCAGGCAAGAGCTTCTCTGCAGCTGGGCTGTGGTCACAGTGAGGGGCTGGCAGCCCTGGCTGAGAGAGCCCTCCTTGGCAATGGGAGTGCCCAGCCACCAGCCAGGGCCCATAAGCACCTGAATATGGCTGGTGCGAGTAAGGAACTGAATTTTTAAATGTAACTTTTGCTGTAATTTTTCTAAGAGTTAGCTCTTGAGCCACGCCTTTTTGCTCTTTATTATTTATTA